CTGGAGGCAGAGGCAGGAGGATTGCTGCAATGTTCAAGGCCAGCTGGTCTGTACAGTAAGTTTCAAGCTGGCTAGGAAAACATAGTGAGATTAAAATGTTCACTTATACTAATTTGTATGCGTTTTATTCTTCATTGGAAATCTGTTTTATGACAATCAGTAATTTCTTTGAAAAGTACTGGTAGTTTGGGCTACGTAAAATAAATACATAGTTTATAGTGTATTCGCTGTTGTTTCTGATTTTAAAATCCACATAAACCAGCTCTTTGGTTTTTGTTTATTACTGTTTTAATATATCAATGTTTTATATAGCTAATAATTAATTACTAGTTATATGGAACAACGGTTTCATTGTGATACTTGATACATGTGTGTAGTGTATTTTGATCATGTTTATACTACATTACCTTCTCTATCCCCGTTCCTTGGTCCTTTCTTCCCAGCACGCTCCACTTCTACTTTAGTGTCTTATTTAAAGTTGGCCTGTGTGTTTATTCAGACGAGCCAGTCACCCATGTCTGGGGCATGGGTGAGAGCCTGACCAGTGGCTTCGTACTAGGAAGAAAGTCGGCTTCTTCCAGCTGCCAGCAGATCCTTCGGGAGGGGTGGACATCATTATCCATGCCCCTTGCATTCTTCTAGCAGGTCTGATGCGGGTTCTCACAGCTGCTTTTAATTACAGCACCCCGCAACACCTCACCCATCCTGCAGCTCCCACATTCTTCTTGTCCTCTTTCCACAGCATTCTCTGAGCCATAGAGGGATGGAGATGTCCCATTCGTGACGGAACATTCAGTGACCCCTTGTCTCCAGCCCTTGCACTGGTTAGATCTCTGCAGTTCCTCTGTCCACCCCAGAAAGAGGCTGTTCTGAGCAAAGCTGGCAGGAGCACTCGTCTGGGGACATCAGCACAGTCACTCAGAAGCAGCAGCTGCCACTTGCCCATAGTGCCTCTGACCTCCCCAGACACAGGCTTTTAGCTGGGGGTTCAGTATTAGCTGTCAGTTCCTTCCTGCAGAGAAGATCCCAGTTCCGACAGAAAGTTACTGATTGCCCTCATAAGACTTAACAGTACTGACTTATAGGAACATCCTGCCTGGCCAGCAGTAATGTAGCATGAATGAGACGTTGACAATTCTCCCAGCAGCTTCTCTAGAACCTCCCAGCACTCTGGAGGCTAGACAGAATGGGAGAAGCTTCCAACTTGCGGATAGCTTGATATTTCCATGGCTTTCGATCAGAGCCATTAAACCAGTTTTTGGATTATTAGTTAGATCTCCAAAACAAAAGGTTCGCCTTATGTGTTAAATAAAACTTTAGAAATCATATAAGGAGAATTGCTGGAGAAAGGGCCTTTGAAACCCAGATGGATGTAGAAATGTAGAAGGATGTCTAAGTCCTGTTAGAAATTGGGGGAAAGTCATGGCACTTTCTCATTCCCGTGTATTGGGCGCCTGCTCTTCTTAGCCTGGTTTTGGAACTTTTGTTAATGACAGTGTATCATTGCTGTCATCAGCTACCTGACAGAAGCCACTCAAGAGTTCCCTTTGTCTCACAGTTTTGAGTGACTCAGAACTAGACTCCCTGGTAGGCAGACAGATAGAGGGGCCATGACTAGGTATAAAGGTGGCAGATTTCCAAGATGGCCAGCTTCTTCCTCAGCCTCCTAACCCAAGACAGAATCCTGGCAGCCTTTGTCTCCTCCCAGCAGTCCCCTGCTGATGGACTGACTCAACAAGTTCAAGGCCTGTTCAAGACACAACACACAACAGTAGAGTACCAGTCAGCCATCCTACCTGTCTACACACTGACCAGCCCTGAGGTAGGGAGGAAGTGACTTCGGAGGCTTTAAAACCCAGGCCTGGAGAAAAGACCGGCTTGTTTTGGCATCCTGAGTCCTCCCTCCCTCATAGTGGGCCTTTTTCTCTGTGCGTATGCTGCAAACCCGTTTTCTCACCCTGTTCTTAACTGCTAGTTCTGTCTGCAGTTGTGAGTTTCTGTTGCTACCTTTTGTGCTTCGGGGTTTTCCTGCCTTTTAATTCTTCAGCTGGCAGGGAAAACTAACCCAGGCAAGACCTCCAGACTGTCCTTTTGAGGGTGCCATCTATCATTGCAGGAAAGTTACCTTTGGTCACGTGGTGTTCACCATCGGGAGCAAGATGAATGTGACCACTCAGCTCTTTCTCCTTCTCATAGTCTAGGACCATACTCTGGGATGATGTCACCTGCACTCAGGATGCACGTTCCCTCAGTTAATCTTGTGGAAACAGCCTCACAGACATGCCCATATACGTGTGTCACAGGGAATGTGGAATCCAGTCAAATCGACAGTGAAGGTTAATCATCACAAAGAGAGGCTGTAATTCAGTCTTGGAAAAGAAAGTGCAAATGTTTATCCAGATGTGCCCCCACCAGTGTTACTTGAAGCTTCGGTGGCTCCTTTTCCCTAATTGCTTCACTCTGTGATAATGGCTGCATGGGGAAACTGAGCCAGCACTGCACCCAGGGGAGCATGAAGATGCTTTGCGCCCTTTCCCTGGGGCTACGTCAAGGGACTCCATTTCTGTAGGAAGACAGCATCGCCTTTACCTGGGTGTGGGGATCCTGTACACTGTGATGAATGTAAAACCTGCATGGCAGTTGAGTGTGTACAAAGAGATTTCTGCTTCCAAGTGCATGCCATTGTCCCATAAGCTTCCATGGAAGCAATGTCTTTGTCCCTGCTCCTGCTTGCTTATACAAGTATTTTTATTTGCCAGTCACTGAAACAAATAATTAACCTTTCGATGGAACAGTTTGGGGATTTGGAGAAGAATTATATGGGAAAATGCCAAAGGTTTCTATCCTCTGGAACCTTGGATTGAAACAATAAACTTGGAATAACTTAGTACTATGTTGGGTATCAGAAAGTCAAACTGATTTTCGGTAACATCATAGTGAAATTGGTTGAGCAGTGTACTAGCTGCCTGTCTTGTTGCTATGTCAAAAGACCTGACAGAAGCAACCTAAGCGAGGGCTCGTATTGGCTCACAGTTTGAGAGCACAGCCCACCACTGCCGGGAAGCCAGCCGAAGGCAGGGGCTTGAAGCAACCGGTCTCCTTGTATCTGAAGTCAGAAGCCGACAGTGATAAATGGTTATGCTCCGCTAGCGCTCTCCTTTTGATTAAGTCCAGCCCCCAAGCCATAGAATGCTGCAGCCCACATTTAAGATAGGTCCTCTACCTCAGGTCACCTAATCTAGTAAGTTCCCCACAGACAAGCCGGGAGGTTTGTTGCCGTGGTGATTCTAAATGCCATCAAGATGATGAGATCACCATCTCAGGCAGTGCCTAACCCCCACAAGTAAAGAACTGTTTGGCTTTTCTCCAGTGGAAGAATTTCTTTTTCACTCAGTTGTGAAGCAGTGCTGTGAGGCTTCAAGGTCTAGAGTTCGCTGCTTTTACAAATCCTACAGCACACCTGTGAAGGAAAGCCACATTTGTCAAGGTGACAATCCATCTCCAGATATGGCTTATTAATCCTCTGTTGTGCTTCCTCAACTGTGCCCTAGTTGGAAAATGTTCATCTCCCGGGAGGTAGTGTCATTTACTCTGTGTCAGTGTACTACATGAATTTTTGCCTCTCGCTTGTGACTTCTCTGTGGAAATGAGCTCACACAAGCTGACTCCAGTCACCATAGTGGCTGCCTTACAGATCCGTGCTTGACTGGCCAGAATTAAGCCGGAGTAACCTTTTTGTCTCACTCGGTGATTACCATAGCTGTCCCCACGCCCCATTCTTCCTTGAGTAGGATGTGGGGAATGAAATGAAAACCAAAGGTTGAGGGCTGAGGAGATTGCTCAGTGGTTGAAAGCATGAGAGTTCAGATCCCCAGAAACCCAGCTACATGCCAGGTGCTCACCCGTGATTCCAGCCTCAGAAGGTGTAGATGGGAGATCGCCCGAGCAGGCTGGCTAGCAGTACCGCTGTCTACACTAGCGCCTCAATGAACAAGGTAGAAGAGCAGTACAGGAAGTCGCCAACCTCAACCTGGAGGCTCCACAGGCATACACAGCCCCTCCACCTCCCTGCCACCCACATAGACACGCTCACACACACACACACACACACACACACACACACACACACACACGCACGCACGCACGCAGGCACACATACACACACACGGGGGGGGACCCTGAAAGCTTTTCTCATCTAGTCGCTCTCACCTCAGAGGAGGCTCTTGGGGATATGCAGGCTGTGACTGGAGCCATCCAGATGCCACCGTTCTACCTACCAACCCCACGGAGTCACCAGCCACTGCTCCAGGCACCAATTTCTTTCATCTGCGCTCCTGTCAGTTACCTCACAGCCCTCCCTTGTCTGTTCTGCCTTTCGATGCCAGCTCGGCTGTTGTTTCTGCGAGCGCCAACGGTATTCTGTCCATGGGCCTGTCGAGAGTGTCAGTGACTCTCAGCTCCACGTAGAATAAAGGCGAAGCGTTCCGCTGGCACAGGGCCCCGTGGAAACAGCTCTGCACCTCTCTCTCTTTGGGGACCTCATCTAATGTTCCTCAGGCTGCCACTGCGGAAGAGATCTACTTCTCTACTCCCAGCACCGAGTCCTCCTCAGCTAGACGTCACCTCAGAAGTCAGTCCTCGCAGACAGTTAGGCAGTTATGTCCACTGCTAATGCGCCTCATAGCACTTGGCACTGTCAGAGAGTCTTTCGTGCCTGTTGATGTGTTACTCTTTATGCATCACTGGTGCCTGCAGCAGTGTCTGCCTGACTCACCAGCACACGCAGTAACGGTTGTTGGACGAACAATGAAGAAGGTACCCCTTTCTTCCTGGTATATACGGCTTTGGTTGGGTCACTTGGCCTCTTGTGTAGAAACCAGCTAGCAGAACATTGGGTTTTCCTGAGGACACACAAGAAAGTCAGTGCGGCAGCCTGCGATGCTATGCTTGGCCGTGGATAGAGTGAGCACACACAGACAGCTCTTCTTCCTGTCTTACAGGAAGTCTTCGGAGGAGCTGGACATGGACAAGGTGACTGCAGCAATGGTACTCACCAGCTTGTCAACTAGCCCTTTGGTCCGAAGCCCGCCTGTGCGACCCAATGGTAAGCCTAGGGTATGGTCTTCGGGAAAGTGCCCATTGGCACCAAGGGGAAAGTAGTTTAGAATCAGGGGGACTAGAGACCCTGGGCCATCAGCCTCCCCCCTCCCTCCTCCTCAGACCCCAGCATTCTCATGAACTCACCTAGGCAGCTCACATATACTGAGTTCTGTCATCCAGAATACATCTGTTCAGCACTTAATGTTCCTTTTTCCCAGGCAAATAGAGAGTAGTCTCATGAACTTGTTTCCCCAGCGTAATTTCTTTTTTATTGAGAAGTAGCTAGATCGGTGAACTCACCAGTAGTTTGCAAAAGCATTATCCCACACTTCATAACCAAAGAGAGTTATTTACTCCATTCATGAATTCAGTGCATATCAGATACCACCTAGATGATTTGAATGTATCTCCAGAATATAAATAGTATCCGTACTCATAGAGAGTACACAGTCTCTTTCGGAAAAAAAGAATATAAATAGTATCCGTACTCATAGAGAGTACACAGTCTCTTTGGGGGGGGGGAAGAGTATAAATAGTATCCGTACTCATAGAGAGTACACAGTCTCTTTCGGAAAAAGAATATAAATAGTATCCATACTCATAGAGAGTACACAGTCTCTTTCGGAAAAAGAATATAAATAGTATCCGTACTCATAGAGAGTACACAGTCTCTTTCACAGTCTCTTTCGGAAAAAAGGCCTGCCAGTCATGGCCTCATTAATAGCTAGCATGTTCATTGAGCACAGACTTAACTGTTCTGCTTACTTTACCTCGTTGTATTTCTACCAACAAGTGTATGAGATGCTATTATCCCCACTTTACAGGTAAGTAAACCAAGGCATGTGTGCATTAATTGACTTACAAATGGTAGAACTACATTTCTAGTTCTTGTCTTCCTGATTCCAGATCTGCCTCCCTAACATGGCATGATATTGCTCCATTTAATCTTTATGATAAATCAGGAAAGCAGACAGTGGGAGATGAAGTTGGACAGAGGGTAGAAGCTTTGTTCTGATAGGTCATGTATGCCTGGTCATGTATGCCTGGTCATGTATGCCTGGTCATGTGTGCCTGGTCATGTGTGCCTGGTCATGTGTGCCTGCTACAAATCCTTCTTCTGAGACCGAGAGAACCACTGGAATAATCCACCCAGACAGTGCAAAGTTAGGATTAGGATACCAGACTGCATACATGTGTGTATGTGTGTATGTATGTGTTTTTAAATATAGACGTATACATAGATGAGCTTACATATCCACATGTGCACATGCATTGAGATGAAGTGACTGTTCTTGTTTGGTGACCTGGCTTTGGGAGCCTCTTGGCAACTGGATACTCAGATTATCTTTCTCAGCTAGGAAGCATTGCTATTGGCAAAACTGGGTACCCTAAAAATATTCTAGGAATGAACTTGAATCCTTAGAGGGAAAAGGATATTTTTATATTAATCATTATTTTTACTATATGATTCTTTTTTTAATTGAGAACATTTCTATTGTTCCTTTGTATTTAAAGGTTAAAATTAAGATAAACCTTTTCATACTTCAATACGCACTTCTGTTAGCAATAGATTATGTCAGTGTTCATTTGTGGTTTAAAAAAAATACCTACTTAGCTAGTTATTGTGGATTGTGGCAAATGCCAACAGGCAAAAGCAGATGGGTCTCTGAATTAATGAGGCCAGCCTGGCCTCATAGACAGAGAGACCTTGCCTCAAAATAAATAAATAGATAAATAAAATTAAAAACTACTGAATTTGATGTCTCATTTGTTTTGCAAAATGAAGCAAATTTTTAAGTAAGGGAAGCAATTTATAATGATGAAGCCATTAATTTTACGCTGTATCAATGAGTTTTGGGAATCTGTTAGGATCCTTTTCTGTGACTGAGAAGGATTTCTCTGTTGGGAGGCAGCTTTGCAAGAGCCCAGCTGCACCCGGCTGCTCCATTTGGCTGGTACTGGCTTAAGATAAGGAAATGCTGCAGCCCAGGAAACTTGATGACTCCATCCTCATGTTCCTGAAAGGCTGTGTCTGTATTAGCTAGTCTCCCTGGCTAAAGAGTGGAGGAGTATTCACAAACTGGTAAGCAAACACACCGTGACAGTAGCTAGTTCTCAAAAGCAGTTCAGTTCCTGAGACGTACCGTGACATCACATGCAGCTCCGTGAACTTGACTTTGAACTTGATTTTAGGGGGGCCACTAGCCATGCAAGTCTATAGAGTATGTGAGGAAGCAACGCTGAAGGACCGCTGTGCTGCCTAAGCTCTCTTGTCATAGGAGGTCACTGCAGTCCGCTGTGTGCATCAGTCTGCAGGGGAAGAAATGCTAACCCGGCTCTGAGATGCTAAGCAAGGTGCAAGCATGCAAAACAGACCACTTCATGAAATGGGCAACTTCTACGTCCATTTAAAACTTGATGACTTTTACTAAACTTTTTGCTTGATGTAGTTGAGGAATTTGCTGTAAATCTATAACTAGGTAAGGGTAGTGATTTCTCTATGAATACTTGTCTACTATTCGTCTTTGCTCCATTAGTAATTACAAAGACATTAATGGTATTTTTTAATGAAGTATTTTGGGATTTCTTCCCCCTCGTAATTAGAGTTTTAATATATTCACACTGCACATAAATATGGAAGAGGATTATCTAAAAGGAAAGCAGAATGTATATAATGCTAATTGAGTTGGGATTCTTGAAAGATAAGAGTAAATTCTACAGTGACTAAAAGCCCCCTCCTCCGACACTGTAGGAAGAAATCTCTGCATCAGACTCCCTACAGTTGAATTGAGCGCCAATCCATCAGTAGGTATGGCCAGTAAGTTCTGATGTGATCCTGTCAACCACAGAGATAGAGGAGGGCCACTAGCAGGCAGATGAACTTCCTGTGCCTCTGTCAAATGGGAGTACTCTTTACTCTGAGTGACAGGCGTAACCGTGTTTGAAACTGCAGATGAGCGCCATTAAGTAGGCGGACTTGGAGTGCAGAGGGTGAACGCAGAAGGAGGAGACTAGAAAGAGGGGCCAGAGGGAAGGGGAAGAATTAGAACGAGGTATAACGAGTGACACAGATGTATGGAAATGCCATACATCTTTATTTTATACACTAACTTTGAAAATTAAGTTTAAGGATGTAAGAACAGTCAGAATGTAAGACGTTGTTATTTGTTTTAATCAGCAGTAGGAAGTTGCTTTAGATGCCTAGCTAGTGATTACCATGTCTGAGGGAGTCTTAAATCTTAATCTGATTTCTTAGACATACACCCCAAGAACCATAGGGAGAATTGGAACCGGGGCAGGCAGCTTGGTGGCCAGGAGGATACCACAGGCAGTTTCACACACAGAAGCACTGCAGCTGGCAAACCCAGAGGCCCCACGGCTGGTGAACAAGAAATAACCGTTATTTTCTTGTTTCTGTCTAATCGGACTCCCTGAGGCAGGAGTGCGGCGTAATAAAACACACACATCAGAAAGCCCAGACAGCCCTGTTGCATTGAAGCTAAAACTGCTTAGAAACTACCGGGGTGGGGGGGGGGGGGGGGGGGTGTACGGCTATCTGCGTGCAACATGGGGGTGAGAACAGAACCCAGACCCGTTCCCCGGAGGCCCTCACTTGCTCTCCCCTGTGCTTGCAGAGGGCCTCAGCGGGTCCTGGAAGGAGGGTGCACCATCCAGCAGCAGCAGCAGCGGCTACTGGAGCTGGAGTGCTCCCAGCGACCAGTCCAACCCATCCACACCTTCACCACCATTGTCCGCTGACAGCTTCAAGCCCTTCCGTAGCCCCGCACCACCTGATGATGGCATCGACGAGGCGGAGGCCAGCAACCTGCTCTTCGACGAGCCCATTCCCAGGAAGAGAAAGGTGGGTTGTGCGCCGTGTCTGCACCCACGGGTACCGGTGCTTAGTCACTCGTGAGAATGAGCAGCGCCCCCCACCCCACCCCACCCGCGTTCCATGTTCTGCCTTCATGGTCTCTGACATTGCCGTTTCCCTGACTAAAGACAAAAATGACTCAAATCCACGGCCGTGCCCCATAAGTATTCATGTTCCATGCTGTGTATTCGCTGTCAAACAGCCTTACCTTGTTGGAAGCTTCATAAAGTGTTGGGCTGAGACTGCCTGTGGTTAAGCCCTTAAACTATGGTCAGTATTTTTTTCTCGTTCCTGCTTCAGCCAGCCCAAAAGGGTTTGTTCATTTTTACACAACTAGATACGTAAAAGTTGACACATACATGTGTCAGCTTCCATTCCGAACATTATATTTACTGAACAAAAATGTAACTGACTCTACAGCTCTTTAGTCCACACAGCGGTGCTGTATAGAAAGTCAGGTTCTGGGAGATTTTTACTAATTGGGCCCAGAGTCCACCACAGCCACCATACAAGCTCATAGTCTTTAAATTCTCCTTAGGAATCTTTATCATCATCATTTTCAGGGTTTGGTTTTTTCCACATATATTTGCTTATGAAGTGTGTGTTTGAGTGTGCATGTAGCGGTGAGACCACAACTTGAGGGAATTAGTCTTCCCCTTCTGCTGTGTGGGTTCTGGGGATAGGACTCAGATTTGAGTGCCTTTACCCGCTGAACCCTCCTCGGTGACCCTTCACCCTCCACTTTATGCAAGTATTTTTTATTTCATAGGCTACAGCAACACTGCTATTAAACCTAGAGAGCACTTTAGCAATGTTTGAAAATTATGCGGAACCATGACGTTCTATGCTGGTTTTAAATTTTTATACGGGTGTCGTCACAAAACACACGGAGGCCTTGAGAGCGAATCTCAACCTCGTCCTCCCCTGGATGTGTTCAGAGAGGAAAGCAAAGAGGAAGCAATGGTCCAGCACCCTCCCTGCCTCCCTCAGCATCACTCAGAGCATGCAGTGTTGAATGGTACAATAGTTCTCGCTGGGTGTTCCCCCAAGGAATAGGGCCATCTTTCCTCAGAGAAGAGGCCTTTCTGCTGCATCCTGTCTTTCCTGGAGCAAGTGTCCTCAGGATGCAAGGTCACTCCACGAGACCCTGGGACTCACTTGATGCGTCAAGGAGAGCTAGTACTTGGATCCATAGATAGCTGCAGACAAGATTGACGGCTGTCTGGAACTGAACTCTTGTTTAGCCTACCGTTCCCGGGGTATCTGAGCAAGCAGCCCTGATTCATCAGCGTGGACAGTATTGTGACAAGATCTCAGAGAACAGAGGCTCTCCAGTGCTTTCAAAGTACACTAATGAAGACCTATCACAGATATCATTATAATGTCTTACCTCATGGGTAGGCAGTGTCCGTCTGGCTCAGGTAGACAGTTACACGCTTCAGCAAAATTAGCAAACAGTTGAGTCACCGATGGGAAAGGGGGAAAAGCCTCATTACAAAGTGGGTAAAGTGCTTGCTGTCCAAGCGTGTGGACCAGAGCTCAGATCTTCAGGACTGACGTGAAGATGGGCACAGCCGTGTACATCCATAATCCCAGTGCTCTGACAGCAAGAGGGGAGATGGAAACAGGAGAACCTCCAAAGCCTCACCAGCTAGCTACTCTGGTGTAGACAGCAGTAAACAAGAGCCGTGATGTCTCAAGCACGATGGTTGGGTGGGCAAAGGCTGGCACCCAGGTTGTCCTCGGACCTCCACCATGGCGTGCTCACACGCAAGTGAGTAACACTTGTTTAAAGGGCACAGGCTTCCTTCACAGAGCGCTAGGTGCTAGACGTGGACGGGTCATTTAGCGCTGTGCATATTTTTCTTTCTTGGTGTTTGCTTCCTCCAGGCTCAGCCTTCCCCAGAGCTGAGGGAAACTGATACTCACTGATGTCTTACTGCCTTGGCCTCTTGTACTTGAAGTGACTTTTAAGTAGTAAAAAGTAGCAAGAAAACGGGGCAGCTACAATCCATCTTCTTCATCACTTGATGAGCTGGTATTTATTGAGCACCATCAGGCGAAATTCTGAACCTCCTGGATGTAGGGACAGCTGCTTCACTCAGAGGTTGTGAGCCGGGTGGGCAGAGACTGATGTGTAAAAGGTCCAGACTGGTTTTGAGAGACAAAAGCTGCCTTCAAATGTTGTTGCAGGATGCAAGCACTGTCATTCAGTTCTTTTATATTTCAAACCATGTTTCAAAAGGTCTCTACAGAATTAATTTAACGTCTTGCAATGCCACTTTTTCTGTCATAGTCTCTCATATCCTTTCTGAATGGCTAGCCAGAATAGCTTCTACCAAAAAAAAAAGGGGGGGGCTGTTCTAGTGGGCAGCGGTGGTGGTGCATACCTTTAATCCCAGCACTTGGGGGGCAGAGGCAGACAAATCTCTATGAGTTCAAGGCCAGGTTGGTCTACAGAGCTAGTTCTAGGACAGCCAGGGATACACAAAGAAACACTGTCTTTAAAAAAAAAAAACTGTCCTGTCATCAACAAAATGGTGACATGTACATGTATCCAGGGAGCGAGCTCCAAAAATATACCACTTGGACATCAAAGAAATCTCAGAATTTGCCATAGAACGGGAACTCCAGGTGTGTGCATTGATAGCCAAACGCAGCAATGTCATCTGGGACAATGGAAAGGGAATATTCCATAGCATATCTGTGTACAACCAGAAAACATAATGAGGATGAAGAGTCATGCTCTGTGCTTCAGCAGCCTGTCCCCCTGCCAAGTCCAAATATATAACTACTGGGGATAAGGACTGACTACCGAGTCCTTATCCCCAGTCCGGAAGAAATACTTACTTTGCCTGAGCACATCCGTTCTTGTTCATGGAGCTTCCTAAGTTCTTCTTATTTCCCTACCTATTCTCTTAGAGTCTTAGTATCCATTTGAACCCCGAGTGTTTACAGTGGTCACATATCCAATGGAAGTCGTTTGAGAAATTTCTAGAAAGATTCTAACAACATGGGAGTTTTGAATGACGAGTAGACTGTGAGTCAGTCTAGTGAAGATGAGCAGCACTCTTTAGCAAGACAGGAGAGCGTGTGCTGGATGTACAGCCGGCGCTGGGTTTTCAGCTGTGTACTTACATGTGAGTGTTTGCTGGAGAGTGCATTTCTTCTTATGGCTAATCACAAAGTTTGGAAGCACCTGGTCCATATTAACAATCAGTAATGTGATGCATGGTAAATCCAGGTGCTGTGCCCAAGTCAAAAGAGCCACATCCAGCCTCAGCACTACTGCTGAGAACCTAGGAAAGCCACTTTGTGTCTCCAGCCATCACCTTGCCTTGTTGTAAGCCTGCCAGAGTGGATACCACACCTCTTGAAGGACAGTTGTGAAGTTGTTAAATGTGATCCCATGTAATGGGACATGGAACTGTTTTAACATGCCTTGCATGAGCTACAAACAGCAGAAGCAGCACTCACTGCTAACCCTTGTGGATCCATTTATGTAAAGAAGTTTGAAGTGTGAGTTGCATTGCATAGACAAGCGTTATCTCTTAATGAGAAGTATTTCTGGTAATCACTATATTTACATGTGTAGTCACAGTTAAATGCAGCATTTCCTGTAATCATGACCCAAGTCTCCGAACAACCTTACTCCCATTTTTCAGAGGCAGCTCATTGAGTTGTGTGTACTGCCCAAGGTTGCGCTGCTCATGCTGGGGCAGAAGTACACTGAGCTTAGCAGGGATAATAAAGAGGATGTGCTTGAGACCAAATGAGCTGGAGAATCCAACGATCCCTCGCTCACAGCCCACAGAGGAGAATGGTGTGTGGGCAGCATGGCCAGACGCCACTAGACCAACACTACACGGCCTTTCCCTGCGTGGAACATCCATTCCTCAGCCACGGCAATGAAAATGGGAGAGAGGCACCAGGCTGTCCTGGCTCCATGTCAGGTGGCCGGCTTTGTGAGGGCGCATTCTATTGGACTTTCCCCTCTGGCTTCAGGGAACCTCCAACTTCTACAGAATGTGATTGTGACTTTGAGAAGGTGCAGTTCCTGTCATGACCACAAGGTGATGCAATGACCCAAAGTATGGGCACTCTGGTGTTCTTAGGAGAAATCCAATTCTGCAGAAGGCTAAGAATTAGCTGTCAGTTCCACAAGACCTCCTGCAAAACCTAAAGTGCTGATGAGTAAGGAAAATGCCAGATTCCTCGTCCCGTCAGATCTAGAGTCTGTGCGTTCTGAAGTTGGGGTGTCGCCTCTGGAGGGACCCTGTTAATGGGCTATTGTGCAGAGCATGTAAAAAGAGGAGGAGAGCAACAAATGCAGCCACTAGTACCAGGCTGTGGTTTCACCCTTGGATATTGAGTGGATGGGGAGCCTGAGAGCCCTGGGTATGGAGAGAAGAGAGCACTTGCCTCCATCCTGATGCTGTATCGATAGAGCCAGTGCCAAGTGGCTCAGGGTAACTGTGCGGCCCTGCCCCTTTGAGGTTGAGGAACCCAGCAGTGCAGGGAGGGAGAGTAGCTCTGGCAGAAATTGGGAGCACACCAGGAACCCTGATACAGGACTCCATATTCCGGACCAGCAGCAGCACCTCGGGGACACTTAAAGATTCTGGCTTCCATCCCTTTCTTTGCTTCATGGGTGTCATGACCACGGACAGTTTTCCCTGGGTGCAGGGAGAAGCTCTGCACTAGCACAGGCATTCTGACAGCCGTGTCGTCTTACGCTACAAGTTAAGCACTGACACACTCTGCATTTCTTACCTCTCAGAACAAAAAAAACCAACAGACACCTTTATTGGGAGTGATGCCCCTGACCAAAGCAAACAAATCCATAAAGCCCTCACACATGAGTGTGGTGCCCATCTCTGTGCAGAATTCATTCCCCACCTACTTACCAGGAGCAAGAGGTCTCTGAAGTGAGCGCTGCTCAAAAGTCCGCATGAGGACCCTAAGGGAGGGTGGGTGGGGCCAGCCTG